CCAGGGGTGTGAGGGAGAAGGTAGGCCAGCTTTGGATGTGGGTGGTCGGGAGGGGACTTGGGCCAGAGTCAGGCAGGGAGGAGAAGGCAAGCAGCTTGGGCTAGCTCCATGTGTGGGAAAGGAGGGAGGCTTGGTGAGTGGCTAGAGCCAGGTTTTCGCAGGGCAGAGGGCGAGTGGCTCAGATCAGCTCTTGAGTGGGGAAGGAGAGGGAGGTCAGTTCCATATTGTGGGGGAGGAGGGAATATGGCAAACCTACCACAGCCTGGCTCTGGCTTCTGGCCTTGCCATGGGGCAGGGCTGTATTCCAGTGTCAGTGACCTCCTCACTTCCTCACTGGTTCTGATGTGGCTCCAGGAGCCAGAGGCTCTGGGTACGCAGTCCATGGACCCATGCACTAATCCAATGCTGCCTGCACTTCTCCTCTACATGGAACTGGTGCGTGCAGTGGCTGTGTGTTTAATGCTTTTCGTGCACTAACCAAAAGAAAAAAAAAAAAGATGGACTGATGGTCCCCATTGAAGTCAATGGCAAAACTTCTTGTGACTTCAGTGGAGCAGGGATTTTCACCTAAACTTAGCATCAGTCCTGTTTCTGCATATTATGTGCTCCGGATCTGCCACCTGCACATGCTGTGGTAGATTAATGTTTGTGTACAGAACATTTTCTGCTTTCATGTGGTATGCTAGTAGAATTTGTGTATTTTGAGTTGGGCCATAGTAGCAAGAGGCAGTTAAAGATGATAGGATTTTCAAAAGCAAGGAGAGATTTTGGACATCTTGTAAGTTGGGACTGAGCAGCTACTTTTTTGAGGACCAAGTATCTCAAATTGGACAACCGAAAATTGAGGCACTAAAAATCACTGCTCATTTTGGAATATCTTGGCCTCTGGGGGTTAGTTCTCTTAGACCATAGAGCAGAAATTCCGGTGAGTGGGTCTATTAATAATAGAATGCTTTGCACTCCCCAGGCACCCTCCACTGGAAGGACTTCAACGTCCATATTATTCCCCGTTTATATTGTGGTAGGGCTGAGAGGCCTCAACTAGATTGAGTTTGTGCAGATGTCCCTAGCTTCCAGGGAAGTGACCCCATAGTTTCTTTTGGTGGGGAGCGAGCTCCACATAACCTTCAAGAGAACAAAATGTGTGTGTGAGGAGGAAAATCTCTAAGGCTTTGTCTACACTTGCAATGGATCCACACAACTTTTGTAGTTCACGGATGTTTAACACCTCCCATCCTGAAGGACAAAAGTTTTGTCACAACAAGTGCAAGTGTGAATGCTACTTTGTTGGCAGGAGCCACCACCTGTCCCACCCTGCTGCAACACACAGCAACTTACCACCCTGTGCTGCTATGCCCTTCCCTGCACTCAACTGCGCTAGAACAACTCACCACCACACACTGCCCCCCAGCTCACTGCAATAGAGTAACTTACTGCCCCACGCCGCTGCCTGCCCCACCCTCATCCCACTGCAGTAGAGCAATTTACCCTGTGTCTCTTCCCTTGTTTCATACTCTACTTTCAGTGACTTGCCCATGAGCCTTGGGACTTGAGAACAATTCCTGGCTGCCTGCTGCACTGGTTGACCCCACAGTGAGCCCCTCTTTCTTGACCTCTTCCACCTCTTCATCAAGAACTTCTGCCTGCGGGTTAAGTCCTTTTTCTGCTGACTCTGGGCTTTGGGAAGTATCCAGTGGATCCTTACTTGAGGAGGTAGGGTCCTCACGCAGGACTGCATCATGCAACACTAGACTGGCTGTTTGCTTCCTTCACCTTCTGGTATGATTGCAGGATTCTTTTATCTTGGCTCAGTCATACCCCTTCATACAGCACTTGAGAAATGTGACCGTACGTGTCCCAGTTCACTCTCAGCTGTGATTGCACCGATTCTTCACCCCACACACTGATAAGATCCAAAAGCTCTGGGGGTGCTCCAGGCAGGAGAGCATATGGAGCGATAGCCACCCCTGTTTTCCTGAGAATATGACATCAAGAGCATTCCACACTGAGACTATCAGGAGGAAATGAATTTTAAATTCCCCGC